TTTTTTTCCCCCCCCCCCCCCCCACACTATTTTGTGTTTATCTTTTTTTTCCTGCATCATATCAGCTTCTATCCTGGAATTTCAAAAAGGCAGAGGAGTTTCATATTCTTAACCATTCCTTCCAACATAACACCATTCCCAGGCAGCTATGTCACTCTCTGCTGCAGTTTAACATCAAATCTTAAAACCAATCAGTGCCTGAATTAGACCAAAAATGGTGCCAGTACTCTAATTCAGCAAAACCCTGAACACAACATAACCCTAAAGCTGTTTTTTATCCTTTTTAACAAGGACACTTTCAGTTAGAGTTAAGCTATGTGTTTACATGGAGACGCAAAAGTCCAAAAACCCCCTAACCCTAACCCCCTAACTGTAACCCCAACCATAACTTGCCACGGGTGGGTTTGGGGGATATGCAGCAAAGCATCGAAGTAGTTATTTTTAGGCAATTATTTAACAACTTTTACTGTCTACCCATTGGAAACCGTACTGAGGTCCAGACTGGTGACCTCAGTGGTGGGTACAGCCATGCTCACCAGAGGTGGTGGTACTCAATGGGAAGTAAGGGTACTCATGTGCTGGTACTGTACTGGTGAGGCACTGCCTTCAATCACATACGGGCTCAGAATAATGAGAGGGAAAGCCAAATGATAAATTGAGCCGTGTTATGAGCGTAGACACTGATGTTAGCGTGTTGATGGAAGCCACGCTGCGCCTCAGACCTTAGCAAAGAAAACCTGTCTTACCAGTTGTGCATCAAGCTGGACTGTGCCACGTTTTGCCTGACCATCTGCCCTGCTTCTCACTTCACTGAGCATTTTAATTGCCTCTGGTCGGGCAGTGTTGGCCACTTGTTAACACTTCCTAAAATAGGAATGATGATCAGAGAAAGGAAAGGTTTGCGCCACTATGACCACGTTGTTGTGAAGTTCACATGAGGGCACAACATGTGTCACTAGGTTGGCACTTGAATCCAAAGCCCTGGCAGCCCTGTGAGTGTGTTCATGCTCACAAACCACTGACCCTGGAACTGCCTCCCTCCACTCACTGAGCTGTAAAGGAACCTCTGACCTGACCGATGACTTAAGACTTTTTTTACTCTTTATTTTCATTTAACCCCCGTCTGCGTGCCACTTGTTCAGTGGAAGCTGGGGAGATGTAGTCGTATGTTTAGCCGCTGTGAGTGAGGCAGTCACCTTTGCTGTTAATGGAATTGGATCTCCACTAATGTTTGGTGCCATTTCATTAGAGAGATTACCATCTCTGCTCTGGCATTTGGTCCTTTCTACTGCCAAGCAACGCAAACATTACACAGCCACGTAAACAGAGAAGAGACGTGCAGGAACACACGTGCACAGGGTGGATTAATTAGCTTAATTAAAGTTGCATATGAGCTGATGACAGGGAGAGAGAGAGAGAGAGAGAGAGAGAGATATTGGACCAGGAAGAAGTTTATTAAACACAGGCAGATAATAAATGTATCAGACAATGATGCAATGATGACATGCCAAAGTAATCCCACAATAGAAGACCACTAAAAATTTGATAAAAGTAAAGTAAAAAACCCATGGCTAAACCATTTCAACACTGAACGTCTTGAATGTTTGACATCCAGTCATCATAAAAAAGGTTTTTATTATTGATGATCTGAGCAGAACCTGTGTGACCTGCTTTTGATAGTGAGAGATTTTAAAGCTAAATAGTTTTGTTAGAATAAAGCCCTTAAAAGAGAGATGTAGCAACCAACAGCCCAGTTTACACGTAATCTCACACAGTTGTCATCTGTTTTACAATCAATTAGCCTGGTATGTCCCAGGAAGTGAGCACATAATCATCACTTTCAGAAACTTTGAATGACTGTATGTAAGAGGAGGATGAAGAGTAGGATACTAACTGAGGAGGATGCTGAGGAGAACCTGGGTCGGGTTGTTGTTGAGTGTGCCGCTGATTGATGGATAAGAGGATCACGCATGCATTTGGGGTCCCGACACTTTATCCTCTCTCTCACACAGCGGCCACGGAGCTTAGTTAGCGGACTGATTCTGGGTAAAAATAACCCAGACATGGCTGCGATAGGAGCAAAATTATGACGTAACACAGACTCTGCTGTTAAACTGTTAAACATCCGCTGGCACCCCAACAGTAACCCTGTCCTCTTTCATCCAAACTGCCCTGTGAACAGATTGTATTGGGACCCCCCTGTAGTAAAGAAAAGATTAAGGCTCCTGTTGACTTACAGTTACAGTGTTGAGGTGTAACAAGTGTTCCAGATTTTGGGCGTTCATGGAGATAAATAATGTAACCCAGAGTACTGATGTTTGTGAATTCAAAGATGGGGGCTGGCTGTGGAGGTGGAGTGGGTTGTTCATTAATCCTAGATTTGGTGGTTTGATTCCCTAGCCCCACCTTGAGCAAGACATTAAACCTCAAATTTCTCCTGATGGGGGCCTCACATGGTAGCCACCCTTGGTGTGTGCATGGATGACTGAGAGGTAAATTGTAAAAGGTGATTGGATGAACCATCTGTCTATCACAGGTGAACTTCAACCAATCAGATCAATGAACCATATAATGTAGTTATTCTCTTACCGAAGTCAGTTGGGAGAAGAGGGAGAACATCTTCAGTGCCGTTCTTTGCTTGACGCTGTAGGGAAGTGGAGAGAGAGGGCACTCGGGAGCGCACATATGCTACACGTCCTTTGGATTTTCAACCCTCACCCCAACATAGAAACACATATAAATCAGTCCACAGTCAGGGAAGGTCTAATTTCTCTCTTACACATAATAAATAAAGAGTCTTACTGAAGTTATGCAGTCAGGTTTTCCTCAGCAGCAAAGCAGGTCATCTCACTCTGTCTGTACACCGGCAGTTCCACTCATAGGTTCAGTGGAATCCATTATAATGACACACAGCCATTCATTGTGAGGTGGATTTATAAATGGGGAGGAAACTTTCACTTTCACTTTAACACACTTAGAAACATTCTGAAGGAAACTGTACGGGAATCATTTGCTCAGGTGGGGATTAACATCAGGGACAAAAATAGTGTAGCAAGGCACATTTTAATACAAAATTAATTCTAGCTTTTAGATGCTACCACATTTTTTAAAATCAAGATTTAAAATAAAATACATTTATAAGATGAAATCTGATAACTTTCTAGAGATATTTTATCTTCATCCAGTTGCAAGCATTTGGAAATAGAGCCAGATGTGGTGGTGGTGGTGGTGGTACCAGTGAATTGTAAATAACAGCTTATTTTCAGTGCATTGTTTTTTTTGTTGATGAAGAACAATGGCAGCTGTCAACTATAATACAGTCAAATGTCATATTAGATCAACTTTTTTTCCGTGAACTATAAAAACCATGCATCCTGGCGGGCGAAACGCTGCTTACTGGTTGAGATCAGCGGTCTGACTTTACTGGCTGTTATCACAGAGAAGAACATGTGTGAGTTTTTGCTCCTCCACCAGGTAAATCTCTGAATGACTTATAAGCTTTCTCTCATTCCAGCCAAAGGGCACAGCGGGCTGCAAGTGGAAAATATGCTCAGCGACGCTAACAATGCAGCTGAGCCATTTTATGAAAACTTAAAAGCAAAAATGTTTCCCACATGCTGACAAGTGTCTGTTAAAGAAAAATAAACAGCCCAAATTCAAAATGTCAAAGTGTCCATTTAAGGGAGCACCACGCTGTTATGTGCTTAGTTGTTTGGGTCCGGTTCAACACTGGTAGGAGGTAAATCTAAATAGCAGTTTGGCTTGTTAGAGTTTGGAGAAGTTAGATGAGGCGTTGGCGATGCTCCATAGAGCCAAACATGGGCTCATTACGGCAGAGCTAGGATGGACAAACAGCTGGATGCATCTTCCTCTCCCTCTGTTAATGCCTCTCTCCATTTCTCTCACCAACTCTCTATTCATCCCCTCGTCTCTCTTCGGTCCTCCCATATGTCTGAAGTGTCACGGTCCACTGACTTCCTCTCCTCTCCTCTCCTCTCCTCTCCTCTCCTTCTGCTTTCTGTGTTTTGCAAGACGTCACATGAGCAGCACGTATGTATGTTTGTTTGTGTGTCTGTCAGTGTGCACATCTCTTGACACGTGTGTGTGTGTGTGTGTGAAGGCTCCAGGGTTTGCGTGTTGTGTGTGTGTGATCTCGGGTTACCCCTGAGGATCCGTTGTCAGTGCCTGTAAGCGATCTAAAGAGCGATACTGATCTTCAACCTCGTTCAGCTCGTCTCGCTCTGACTGTTCATATGTCGACCTGCTCCCATTAAACACACATAAAGACATTCGGAGCTCCTCTGGAAGCTCTCTGTGTGCGCCGCCATAAAAAATACAATGTCTTTGATGGCAGCCAGATGTGGCAAACCCTTTCAGGTTCAGTAACAATATCTTATTTTCTGAATTTCCCACCCATAAGAACGTAACTTCAGTATTTGTTTCTGATAGTAAAAGTTTTAAAATTACAATCCAGCCCAGATTTTCAAAGCAGTCACACCTCGTACCGGGTCCATTTAGTCAGTTTTTGGAATTCTGTCAAGCCCAAAAATGTTCATTACACTGTGAAAAAGAGTAAATAATGGTAATGGCAGCTTGGGCGACAAAGAAAATACTGTAAAATGACTCACTCCTAAAAATACAGTATTTTCTGTAATTAAAATACTATAGTTTATAGCTTGAATTTTTACTTTAAATCATTTTTGGGCTTTTTAATGTTTAATTTAAAAACATGTACACATCTAAAAACAATGAAATGACCTGTAAATACAGGCAAACGCTGCTATAATACAAATAATCAGGCTTAAATTTACAGAAGCGTCCTGTTATTATTTGATTTTTTCTTATTTTCTTACACGTTTTTTTGTTGTGAAAAACTTACATAATTACAAGATAACTTTCAGTTTACAAATTAATCCATGTAAAATTACAGAACACTTTGTTTTTACTGTTAATTGTCACAAAATATACATGATTTTAGCAATGTATTAACAGTATTAAACCTGAATTTAACAGTTTAATCTATAACGTAAACAGTAAATAGCTGTGGAAAAATTTATTTCTATTTTATTTTAGTTGTTTTTTATGTGAAAAAAGGAATTTTTCTTTAAATAAGCAGTAATGGTATGATTATTCACAGTTACAGATTTTACACGTTATTTTACATTAGACATGTAAATTCACAGGCTGTTTTTGTAATTTTATTAATATTTCCATGTATTTAAAAAACAGAAAAAATCTGTAAAATGAACAAGAAAAAATTGTGTGGTTTTTTTTTTTTAAGATGGTTGTTATGTTATATAAAATTTCAGTACTCTGTGTCACACTCTGTAGTCCTCCATGTCAGACAGTAACAGCTGCTGATTCCCTTTGTAGAGTTCAAGGCTGCATTTGACATCTTCATCCAGGATGCAGAGGACGGCTGCATCAGCACCAAAGAGTTGGGGAAGGTGATGAGGATGCTGGGACAGAATCCCACCCCTGAGGAGCTACAGGAGATGATTGATGAGGTGGATGAGGATGGTATGTCAGTGCCATTAAACCTTTCACATGACTGTACTGTGGACAGGATAACTCCACATATAGTATTATGGAGTCTTAAAATCATGTTGTGTGTTCACAGGCAGTGGCACAGTAGATTTTGATGAGTTCTTGGTTATGATGGTACGCTGCATGAAGGAGGAGAGCAAAGGAAAATCAGAGGAGGAGTTGGCTGAGCTGTTCCGCATGTTCGACAAGTAGGTTTCTCTTTCACACACTGCCATGGTGATTTACATGTACATACTGGTGTTTAGAAAATAAAAGTGGTTTTACCTCACCTTTAGCTTAACTGCTGAAAGGTTATAAAGTTTGTGTAAATTGTTGTTATAAAATTAATTAATTAATTATTGTTGTAAATATTAAATGGGCTAATTCACTCAGAACAGTTTGGTGTTAAAAGGCTTCAACCATTGATAATGTATGGCTTTAACTCAGCAGTCATGCCAGATGAGAAGACTGATTTCTTTATCTTGTGTTAAGGAATGGTGATGGCTACATAGACTTAGAGGAGCTGAAAGCCATGCTGGAGTCCACTGGAGAGGCCATCACAGAAGACGATATCGAGGAGCTGATGAAGGATGGAGACAAAAACAATGATGGGAAAATTGATTATGACGGTACATAAGTAGTACATGTAATGTAAATTTACAGGAATTTCCTGTAAATAATAACACGGTAAAATGTTTTTTTTTTTGTTTTTTTTTATTAATTATTATTATTAGTAAGTAAGTTATTACTGTCAGGATATAGTGAGTTAATACAAGTTATAAAAGTTACCTACTGCAGCTCCAATACAAGTAAAAAATTACACAGCTTTGACATTGTGGGAGCCTTACATGGCTAACAATTGCATTTATACCATATATGATATAAATATATAAAAGTTTTAATTTTATCATCATATATATGACAGATAGATGGTATTCCACTTTCCCATAGGAAGAAAATATGCATCATATGTAGTTCTAGATTTCTTCAAGGGACCTAAGCTCAGGAATGGCTATATATTAAGTAGCAGATTTTTTTTACAGAGATGGTATATATATTTACAGTATCTCACAAAAGTGAGTACACCCCTCACATTTCTG